CTGCTTTTTTTTTTATCCTGAAGCTGTAATCAAAGAACATACAAGGAATGAAAAAAGCTTATGAGTGCCTTAATTCAACAACCTAGGCATGTTACAAAAAGAAACAACCCACAAAGCCACAATCCTCTGTAAAGGCTAACCTAATCAGTCCTATTCCAAATCTATGCCATTTATCTCTAGAAGTTTCTCCCTCCCTCCCCCCCCCCCCCGGTTTTGTCTCTAGGCATACCCTTTTCTACGATGAAATATGCACCTCTGCCCTGGGAAAGAATCGTATCACACAGATGATCTGATGAATAGCTATTTGTGCCTTATATTTAAGCCCTTGCTATCCCTTCTTCATGACTCTTCATATATTAACAAGTGGGCATCTTTTTCAGCACTTCCAGAAAAGAGATACAGAAGATAATTTTTTCTAGCAAGAGGGAATGATTTAAATCAATATGGTTTAAAATCAATGATTTGAATGAGCAAGAAAAAGGAGGTTGATTTAAGTCAAGTTTTCTTTTGATAGTACTTCACGTATTTCCTAAAAGATTGTGCAAACTACTAAACTCTGTTAATTTACAGAATATTGTTTACCCTGTTCAACCAAGCCTTGCATCTCTTAGTCTCGGTATACATTTTACATGCTTTCTTTTTCCCTGTAAAGGGAATGTCTCTAAAATGTTCTCATATAGGATCTTTCTTATGACAAACACCCATGACAATTTGCAAAGTTAGCAGCAGAATCCTATTTGCCCAGGAGGGCTTTAACTATAAGTGAGTATAGAACTGCAGCACAAGTATGGGGAATAATAGGGACCTGAGCACTGCACATGTTTGTCTTCCAGTCTTCTTTCTGGTTGCTCCTTTCTGCTTCTCTTGGTCCACATTTAACAAAAATGAGGTATCCATGACTGATAGGTCAAAGCAGGGGTGATTATTACTAGGCAGACTAGAGCTGTTGATTTTCATCAGATTAAGATGAAATGCCTATATCTGAGTAATGATAAGATAGGTTCTTCATTGAGACAGAAAAATATATCTGGATATATCTGATGGAAGGGGTTGTATCAGTGCATATAAATGAACTGTAGGTCTAATACAGCCTTGTGACTATACCCCACCCCCAAGTTATTACAAGCCTGTTAAAAGAAAAGAAAAATCACTAACCTGCTAGGTGCTGACCAAAGAGGGATGGAGAGTGGCCTTTCTGTGCTGGGTCCAGAGGAGAGACAAGGTGCTCCCATCCTTCCTCCAACAGCCCACTCCTTTCTGTGCATGGAATCCTGGTTGTCAGTGACTACAAAGCTACTACCAAGGTTGGCTAATGTGCTTATATCCAAATTAATTTACATTTGATCTCTTTATTATATAAGAGAAACTTAGCAAACCTTGTCAGAAGAATCCCTGTGTAGGAGTTTCCACTTGTGCAGTGGGGCTCCCCCCTCCCCCTGTGCCCCTGAAATTAGCTTGTGGTGGGGAGTTGGGAGGATCCCCAGAATAGGGTTGGTGGGTAGGTTGTGGTTTCTTCTGCTTGTGCAGAGAGAATGTTCATCATAGCGCAAAATTGAATTCCACCCTCCATATTTACAATTCTTAAAAACATCAAAATCCAATTAATTTTCTTTTAAAAATCTTAAATCTGATTTTTAGTCCACCTAACATACTTATATTTGAGAGGAAGCCAATAGAGACATCAAAGGTGGTGAATATGGGATTAATCTCAGTACCAGGTCATATGTCTATCCCCAAGATAGTAACGTCAGCACGTGGGCCTGTGCGGCTGCAGCATTTCTCCCTGAAATGTGGTTAAAGGAATTAAACTGGGCTGTAGTGTTGTGCTCCTCTCCCTTAGGAAGTCAGGTGGCCCTCTGCCTTCACCATAATGAGAGGAGTATAACTATTACATTTGAACTGCCCGGTGGTGCCTTGGCTGCTTCATTTCTTTATGTCAAGGGACTTTGTCTGAATTTGCCATAGTGTGAAAATCTCCAAAGTTGCCATATCAGAGAGAAATTATTTCTGAAGTGTTGTTTTTTCCCCTGTCACTTGAGAGCAGTTTCAGATAAAAGGTTTTAGAACAAGGAGGTCAAGTGTGTGACAGCCTGTTTTCCTCTGCCCTAGAAATATATTTATGAACTCGCACTCAAGTCCCTCCCCCCCTGGTTTTATTTTAGCTGAAAGAACTTCCTCATCCTCTGGTGCCCTTGAGAGCACATTGAGATAGGCGTACAGTATTTGTTTGTTTCTGAGAGCAGAACATTTGTTAGAAGCTGGAGGAGATTGCTTTACATTCCCCTCTCTCACTGCAACAGACATCCAAATGCCAGGGACACAAGAAGGTTTTGTTCTAACCCAGAGTGTGAACTTGCACCAAGAAGAAAGTGGCTGGAGTTTCTTTCTAGCTTTCAAGTGCCATGGGTTGAGGTGATCTTCAGCACAGTGCATTTACCTGCTTACCTCATAAGCTAGATGCTCTTCTCTACTTAATGCCACAACCCACCACATAGTGAAGCTTGATTAATTCCTTTGATCCATGGGGGTGCTCAGTTCTGTCCTGGATTGTGCCTCTTCTGAGTCCTCTTCCACTGTACTCCATGCTAGACCAGCAGTCACTTTCCAGATGCAAGCAAACTGTGGAAAGTTAGCTTCCTAAATAGTATTTTCTGCAGCCACAAATTTCCCATTTGGTTAGTTTGGGATTCTGCTTTAAAAGATCTGGACTGCTCTTCTATTTAAGTCAAGCCAGAGGGAATGTAGCATTCTATAGCATTGGCTGTACTGGATACAAAGACCTGTGAACCTGGTAAATCCTTAGAGTTTGGTTTTCCTGTAATGTGGAAGCCTGAATTAATTCTGGCCTTCATAGTTAACAGCAAGAGAGGTTAATTCACAGTTCATTCCCAATTTAGCACAGTAATTAGCTGTTTGTAGAACACCACGAAGATCATGGCCACTGGTCCCATCACCTCCTGGCAAATAGAAGGGGAAGAAATGGAGGCAGTGAGAGATTTTATTTTCTTGGGCTCCATGATCACTGCAGATGGTGACAGCAGTCACGAAATTAAAAGACGCCTGCTCCTTGGGAGAAAGGCGATGGCAAATCTAGACAACATCTTAAAAAGTAGAGACATCACCTTACCAACAAAGGTCCGTATAGTTAAAGCCATGGTTTTCCCAGTAGTGATGTATGGAAGTGAGAGCTGGACCATAAAGAAGGCTGATCGCCGAAGAATTGATGCTTTTGAATTATGATGCTGGAGGAGACTCTTGAGAGTCCCACGGACTGCAAGAAGATCAAACGCATCCATTCTTAAGGAAATCAGACCTGAGTGCTCACTGGAAGGACAGATCGTGAAGTTGAGGCTGCAATACTTTGGCTACCTCATGAGAAGAGAAGACTCCCTGGAAAAGACCCTGATGTTGGGAAAGATGGAGGGCACAAGGAGAAGGGGACGACAGAGGATGAGATGGTTGGATAGTGTTCTTGAAGCTACCAACATGAGCCTGACCAAACTGCGGGAGGCGGTGGAAGACAGGAGTCCCTGGCGTGCTCTGGTCCATGGGGTCACGAAGAGTCGGACACGACTAAACGACTAAACAACAACAACAGAACACTATTTGTGTTTGTTTTGGAGTTAAATACACATAGACGTAAGCCACACTTTTAAAAATCTGCTGCACCTTTATAGAGTGAAATTTAAACTTCCTGACTTAATTCACTAAAACATAATGCAAACATTTGTTTTTTAATTGGTCAATTTTAAAGCAGACAGATGCTTCGAAAGGAACGATGTAATGAAATTATATCCATTTAACAAAATCTACTGCTTATTATTTGTTTTCCAATTAAGTGTCAGTTAAGAAGCAATTTCTGTAGGTGGGAAGAAGAGGTATAGGCATTTTTTCTAACATTATATAAAGCCCAGAGCTGTAGCTGAAAAAATTCGTCCAGGATCCAGTGGGGCATTTAATCACAGCTCCATCTGCAACCAAGCACTTTGAATGGATACTAGCTTTTTGTTAAATGTTAACCCTCATTTAACCCTCTTTAATGTTCTTCTTTAACCTGGCCTTTGGGTGATTGACATCCAGTGCCCTTTTAAAATGTGATGAGGGTGTTATTGGGTTGTTCTTGTTTTTATTATGTATTATGTATGTGTTTTTATATTGCGATTTTATCTTGCGAACCGCCCTGAGACCTGTGGGTATAGGGCAGTATACAAATCTAATAATAATAATAATAATAAATAAAATATATCATCATCAATATGATGCACTTGCTCAGTTAAAATTATGAGTACTTCATTCTTGCAACTAAGCATATGATGGCACACATTTTATGATAAAAAGAGGGGGGAAATTAAAGCAAGCTTTTGATCAGGTACTAAAGTCCAGTTCAAACATTCTCAGCCTTCTGCATGCAATTGAAACCCCCTCTGGACACGTTCATGTGAACAATGTAATATGTGACCTGGGCCATTATCAGATACACCTGTAATCTCCTGACGGAGATTGCCAATAGTGACACTTTTTTTTTTTTTTTGCTGCCATAGTCACAAGAATTGCCGTTGGTAGCTGTGCATGAGGGCACAAAGTGGATTTCTGGTGGCATAATACATTTTAAAATAATTTAATATTGAGATGCCCTAAATAAGAATTCTCATTAACACATCCCTAGAAACAGACTGGATACATCACATAATTAAGGTGCTGAACTGGTGGAAATACACTCATAGTTCTAGTATTTAAGTGCACTAATAGAGTTGTGGCATAAAATGTCTTCAGAATAGTTTGTACTTTAATTTTTTTTTGCACTATTGTTATTTCCTGCCACTGGGTTTCCTTTTATTAATGCTGTTTTTATATTGTTTTATATGCCATGTTGGGTTGTTGTTGTTTTGTATATATTATGGTGTTAATTTTTATGGTAAGCACCTGAGAGAACTTTTTGTTGCTGGGAAGTGTATAAAAATAGGTAAATAATCAAATGTGCTTTTAAAAATCTCTTGCAGCAACCTTGTATACTTCTGGCATCTTGTTTGGCGTCTTCTTGAACAGCAGCGTACCTATTTTCTTTGAACTTTTTGTGGAAACTGTCTACCCTGTTCCAGAAGGGATTACTTGCGGCGTGACCACTTTCCTAAGCAACATGTTCATGGGAGTTCTTTTATTTTTTCTTACTTTCTACAATAAAGGTAAGGAGTATTTAGATGCTTGTGGTGTATCAATTTGTTAGCACAACGTATTTCAGCTGGGAGATTTATTTTTGGCTTCACCAGGAAGAGGAGCTTCATGGAGATTCTTCTGTTAACACTAATGATGTGTATAAATCCCTTAGCATTTGTAGAAGAATAGGCCTCCCTATGTGTTCGTCTTTATAAGTCTGCCAGTCAAAGATTGAAATCTTCACATAGAATTGTTCCTTTGAAGGCAGGGCAGTGGGATGCCTTTGAGATAAATACTGTGGTGGCTTTAAAAGAAAAAAAAAGGATGACAAAGAACCACATAATGTTATGACCATTAATAACATACGTAGCTAGGCAGGCTAAAACAGCGATAAAACTAATCCAATCTCATGCTTCAGGGTCTAATCTGGTTGTTTCGGGGGGTAAGAAGAAGCATGTGGTTTCTTTTTCGTCTTCCAGACCTGGTCTTTTGACCACACTCACAATTTACAGATTGGCAAAAGAGGGGGTATCTCCCCACTTTCCTGTTTTCAGACAAGTTTCGGAAGATCGTAAACTGAGGAGGGGACGTAAACTGATGGTCACGTGGGCCTGGTTTGTTCAAAATGGCTTCCCAGCGCAATGCTATAGAGATAAAGGTTTGGCTCAACCTGAAGCCTCTGAGCTTTGCCCCTATAGAGCACAAAGGTGTGGAACCATCTGAAGAATGGTTTCCTTCTGAAACGTACCCTCTCATACAACAAAGAAAAAGGTCTTTAGCCTAACGTACATCTTCTTGTACATCTCCCATACTTAAGTTGTATGTGTTTGCAGATGTTTGTTGTATGCATGTACTACATGCTGTTGTTTACATGTTCATGTAAAGTGCCCTGTGTGCACATGTAAATAATGAGCCAGGAATGCAATGGCCCTTAGCTATTGGTTGAAAGGATGAATATTTCTGCAACCTCACATATATCAGTCCTTTCCATATTTCATTTTTCTTCAGCTCTTGCTGTTCTTTCACAAGAACTGCCATAGAATCATCCTCACCTACAATGCCATGATTCCTTGGAGGGAGAATAGAATACACACAGATTTTGCTGTTAGTGCCTCCCAGTATACACTTCTACTGGAAATGCCAGCAGAGCTGACTTACAACCCACATGATGACTGCTACTGGTGCATTGTAATGCCATAAGTTTAGTTTCTTGCTTTGAATTATTATTTTTTAAGCGCATTCTTGTTAGCTGACATCATTTTCGCCAGAAAAAATAGCTTTGACATTTGAAAGCCCCATAAAGACGGTTGCCGTCTTTTAAACAAATATATAGACCACTTACGGTTGGATAGTTTCCATGTATTAATTTGGCAGTTTGAAGGAGAAGAGCATAAGGGAATGTGGGGATACTGGAAACTTTAGTGATTTTACTTAGTTGGTGTACATTCTATTCAATGTGGTAAAAGGTAAAGCTTTTGATGGAATCGATAGCAAAAATATTAGTAGTGGGTGATGCCTAATAGAACATAAAGAGATATTTCTGAAGAAGCAGTGCTGTCTATGATACTGAGAGTTTTGCACCTTTAGCCCTGTGAGTTACTGGGATTAAACCAGACCAGTGTTTTTAGGTGGTTTTAGACCTGAGGATACATTTAGAGTTCTGTAAAAACAGTGAACAAAGTAGGCATTTCTTCAGAAATACACATAATATTGATAGGGAGGTGGCATTTGCATTGTCCTTGCTTACTGATTAACTTTAATAATTAACCATTGGACAGCATTGGTTTGGATTGCATCTTTTGCTGGAGAAATTACATTTGCTTGTCCTGACAAGCCAAATCAGACGGCTGTTGTTGATTAAAAAGATATTCTGTCAATACAAGACTAGGAAGGCAAAAGAATAGCTGTTGGGAGTCAAAAGAATTGACTAAATGAACACACTCTGTAGATCTTTAAAAAGCACTCACAGCTCATTCTGGGATGATTTACAGACTCTGGATTTGAAATCCAATTTATAAATATGGCCTCACTGTGCTCAACTTTCCTGATACATAGCTGTATAAGCCTAATTTTCTTGTGAGCATTTGTAATTGTGGTAGGATGCAGAGATGCTCTTAATCTTTCTCCACCACAATGTCTGCACAGCAAAGGAGTTGTGAAGACCTCATCCCATCATTGTGACTTACTTACCAAGCAAATTAAGATGGCTAAAATTTAATTAATTTTGTTTTTAAAATGTTCCATGACAAAGGCTATAATCAAATCATAAATTTTGTCTCAATGTGTTTATTCTCACTGCATCTTCTTATATCAAAATCTTTGGTGCTTTATAATGCTTTTCGTTTATATGTAAATAGTTTTGTTTCTGTTCGTTCTCAAACGTAACAACTAAAGACACAGAATAGGCAAGGCTGTCCTGTGTGCCCCAGTTCAGCTGGAAGAAGTCAAGCAGGGGTGCTGGCCTATTTGAGCACCCCAGCTCGATTTCTTACAGTACCCCTATTTTCAATGAGGACAACTTCTTTCTGACAAAGATTGCAGAGGTCTTTCTCCGAAGTGTTTGCCTTAACCTAAATTATGATGCTTTTAAAGAACTGGCCGTTTTTTATGATGAAGTAGGACATGCTTACATCGATATTCAAGACTAATCTTTCTTCTTTCCCCCCCACCCACCCAGAGTTCTCTTGGTTTAACTGGTGCCTCCCAGGCTCCTGTCTGCTAAGTCTTCTGCTCATCCTGTGCTTCAGGGAATCCTACGATAGACTTTATCTCGACGTCATCGTCTCCGTTTGATAGCACAAAACAGAAGGGAGCTCCAGAAGAGGATGGAAGTTAGAACCCTGCTCTGCCTCTTTCCTTTGGAAATTGAAAAGACCAAAGGTCAAAGCGAAAAAAAACCTAAGCAGTTTTAACATTGACCTTTTAACTGAACTTACAAACTGGTTTTTAAAGTACACTTCCTAATTTCAGATTTTATTATCTTGATAACGATGGTGAGTGTTGTACTTGAATGGGAATTTGAATATTTTTTTAAAAGCACACACTCAGAAGAATGTGCATTAGGGAGAAGCTATAGTTTATTAACTGTGAGATTTTTATTTAATAAGCTATTTAACTGGGTATACAGATTTTGTGCCAACTCAAGCCATTTACAAGATAGATACAAAATGAATATCTTACTTAGGGTTTAAGGGAGGAACATATTCACCATCACAAAAAAGTCTATTTTTGCAGCCTAAAGAGTCTAGTAAGAATTCTGATGTTCCAATATTTTTCCTGCTTTTTAAACAATATACTATCCTCCATGGTGTAGTATATGAAAAGACAAGTGTCACTTTGATGGCCAAATATTTGCAACGTAGTTAATCAGGGCTGAAGAAGTTGTTCCCTCACTATGAGTCCTCTAAGCTCTATCAAAATGAGAATAGTAGGTAGATATGAATTTATCCTTCTAGGATTTTAACTATGACCAAATATTTAAAATCCATATAAATGTCTTGGCATGCCCCTTGTACACTACATTTATTTTCTAATGAAGCGATTTCTAATGTTTTCTAACCCCTCCCCTTCTTGACACATTGAAGGGTCTTATATTAGTTGGTGCTATATATTCAGTTATGTTTAAAACAAATAATTGCCTTAGTATAGGAATGACATCGGTTGTGAAGGTATCATGGGTCAGCACTACCTTTACTGGGATATTTTTAATTCATTTCTCTATCCAAATACTGCAAGCTGTCCTCCCAATGTTTTATCAAGCTGACGGAACAAAATTTATAGCTTTTCTGTGACAAGTCACGTGTGTTTTCAAGCTAGTTTACAATTTAAAGAGTGCCTATCATGTGTGATTTTGTTTTTAAACAGATATTCTGTGGTGGTACTTTCGGGTAACAAAATTAAATGGCAAATCAAATCGATCCAGACTTTATCTTCTATAGAAAGCTTTTGATCCAGTGGGCAGATCATTTACCAATTTCTCTTCTCCCACAGTGTTTCAGCCCAACTTTCTGGAACATTGAGGGAGGTGGGTGAGACTGAGGGTGCAGGAGAGCAGGGAATCTCCCTTGGAATCAGAGCAAAGTCTGATTCCAACCCAGAGTCTCCAGCCTTGGAACTTTGCATAACATGGTAGTTGCAGTACTGTGTATCCTGTATTACGAGGCCTATTATTGATTTGGCTTTGTTTTCAAAAGCCAATCTAGCTTCTCCAGTTGGTTTTACAAAGCTTCACGTGCTCATGCTTTGCAAGAAATCTTATGCAAAATACATGTTGCTACCATCCATTTGAGAGAGGGAATTGTCAACCTGTGGCCAGTATGCTTCTCTACTAACACAAATATTTTGAAACACTTTCATGAGCATTCTTATAGCTCTGTTAATACTGAGTTTTAATCCTGAGCTTGTTCTCTTCCGTTGGTCGGTCGGTCTGTGTGCATGCGTGTAAAATATGTTTGCACATAGAAATCTTATGAGTGTATTTTTTAGTAGTAAATTTCCACAGTGTCGAAATTCTAATGATATATTTAGTGCCATTGTCTATTTGAAAAGCAATCTCTTCAAGTAATGACATAGTTTACATAACACAGTTGAGTGACTATTTTTTTTTAAAGAGGAGGTAACAAAGCCATCTTGCTCAGGAGCATTTGTGGATTCCACAATCTAATATTATGCTTCAGTGAGAACTTTGGATTTGGATATGTTTCACTCCTTCAAAGAAGTTCCATTCTGCCACTCTTGATTCATTTGGCCACTGTAATTCAGAAATTAAGCAATATTTCTCAGACACATGGCTTTATTCTGTTTGTCCAGTCATTTTATTCTGTGGATAACTGAAATATTTCTACAGTTTACATTTAGGATCTTAAATGGAATTATTGGTGTCATTTTATAGCGTCAACTTTTTGTTGTTGTTATGGTGCCATTTTGTATTCCATATTGGTTAATAGGATGTGACAGCTTGATGAACTGATCCCTGACAGCTCGTGAAAGACGAAAAACCTTTCTCTTAGAAGTACCTTTCAGCCAAAATATAGCCATTTTAATCTGCAATACAGTGGACGCTCGGGTTGTAAACGTGATCCGTGCAGGATGCACGTTCGCAACCTGCAACAGCGCGTCTGCGCACGCGCGGGTTGCGGTTCGGTGCATCTGCGCACGCGCAAAGCACGATTTAGCACATGTGCAACCTCCGAAACCCGGAAGTAACCCGTTCCAGTACTTCCGGGTTTCGGAGCGCCCGTAACCTGAAAAAACGCAACCTGAAGCGTCTGTAACCCGAGGTATGACTGTATAGAAAGATTCTGATTTCCCCTCACTTTACAGACAGGCTTTTCTGTATTTTTTTCAAGCAGGCTTCCTCACAGCTCTTGCCACATGATTTTTCTCTTGGGGTGAAACACCTACAAGGAGGAACAAGGCCATCCACTTAACACCCTTTCATTGCCCAGTAGGGAACAATCTAGCTTTCATCTAATAGCAATGTCAATTAATACATCCTGGTCCCAGTTACATCAAGGTTGAACCTTCTTTTTGCTAATAAAGAGTTATCCTACTGGGACTGCAGCTATATACATTTGAAGTACTTTCACAAGAAGCAGATGGTGTTTTTTCACATACACATACCCCTCCTGGCTGCCATGTTATTTGTGTGGCATTAGCTAAAATGAGTCCATAGAATCAGGTTAGGTGTTCCCCTTGATTACACTTTCTTTGTCATCTTCAAGGCATTTCTCACTGTTGGGGTTTTAGGGAAAGAAACTCTCTGTGTAATCTGCTCCCAAGATGAGTCAAGGCACTTTTTTGTTCCTGAGTTTTGTTTTACTTCTCTTGAGCACTTAAAAATGAACTAGAAGATTGGTGCAAGTAGATGTCCTCCTAGTCAGAGGGCAGCCTGGTGGCAACATGATGATAGTATCCTTTTTTCTTCTTTTTGCATTTGTGTTGTTAAAAAGAAATCCCCAACTTGTTGGCTGAGAACTAGAAAATGTGAGTAGGATCTGCTGCTTCATTTCCTGGAGTTGTGCTTGGGCCAGTCACTTTTTGAACTTGGTGTCCTCATCTGATGTGTGTGAGATAATACAGGTATAACTTTATTGTCACTGTCTAGGATAAGACAGATCTGTTGTCCCATCTTTTATGTAGTGCAGATCTCCTGTTCAGACAAGGTGGCCGCCTACTCTCACATCTCATATGTAAGGCATACTGGCATAACCTGAAGAAGAAGTGTTATATCCTTGTGTGTGCTGTTGAATGTGTGGAAAACGTTTTGATTTTATAAAGATTGAACACACAATGCAAAATGAGCCACCTCCAGGCGTGTGCTTTACTAAAAAGGGAAGTAGATATATAGGCATTAGGTAGAATTAATGAATATGAAGGCTATACATTATACAGTGGCTCAAGACAGCCTATAAAGGTTCTGATAGCAGAAATTTTGATTTGGTCATAAACCTGCTTTATAATTATATTGCATAATAGTGGTAACTTCTCAAGTTGCTAGGGCAGCAAAGGTGTTTTGGAAAACCCTTTTTGGATGTGATGTGGTTGCTTATACCTTTTACTCATCAATTATTTCCCAACATTAAAGTGAAAGTGACACGATTGGCTAGATAGGTACATACAGCAATTGTATAGGAATGGTTAGGGTTATATATAGACTATCATGAAGACACCGAAGAGAAGTTCTTCCATGCTAGTTCTGTTGAAGTGAATAGGAGCAGCACAATCTTGTGTTGACCCCCTTCATTCAATGTAACTTGTACAGGAGAAATTCCTAGTGGACTATATCTTATCTAACCTTGTGCTCCAGGCAGCCTGCACAATATGTTCTCTAATAAATTAGTGAAGTTTTATTATCTGTTAGACATTTGCTTGGTCTCATTCAAATGAGTAGATCTGCCCTTGTTTTGAATGAGTCAGGAATATGAACTCTTCTCAGAGCAGTCTTACATTGATTCTCTCTAAATGTCTAAATATTGAAATGATAATATAATGATCTAAATTTAGATCAGTATTTTATCAGTTAACAGTGAAAGGCATTGATTGCCATTCTAATTACATCCCATAGTTTGATGCTAGAGCCACACTTACTTGGGAATTTGGTATCATTCAGACAAATTTAATTTCGAGTAAACGTGTTAAGAATTTACGTGCCAGAGTGTTCAAAATATGTTCCTGAGAGAATGCACCAAATCTTTTTATCATTGATCATTTCCAGCTTGGGGGAAAAGAATGCCCACCTCTGTCCGTGCTCAGTGACGTGCGTCCTGCCTAGAAGTTCAAACAAGATAAGCATGTGGAATTATTTTCGCATGTGAAATGGAAAATACTGGTCAATGTGGCTGCGTTGTGCATGCAGAAACAAATGAATAAGGTCTGTGACATTTAATCACGTAATCAGTTAATCAAAATATTTTGATCAAATGAACACACACACACACACGGTAATTATAAGTACTGTTGATGACCAATTCCATCATAGAAGTATTTCCAGCCCTTGTGTGAGAGAATGGGGAGTCCCTTTTCTAAGATGATGTGTGCTACCGCACACGTTTTTATTTAGAACTACTGGGTTCTATCCCATGTTGCGTGAGCTCTTTCTCTTTGCCTTCTCTACAGGCCACTGTGCCTGCCAAAATCCTCTCCAAAGGGCTGGGAGAACCTGCCCAACATTGAGAGTTGTCCTCTGGGGCTGCAAGGGGTTGCAGGGTGCTGGCGGGGGGAGCAAGGTGTTGAGTGAGATTGCCTTCTGCTTATGCCATGTTGGGTGCAACCCTTAGTTTCTCATATGCAATAATTGTGCAGATTTGACTAATTCTTTAATTATTTGACTAAACCTGAGTTCATTATTGATATTTTAATTGGTGGCAGCCCTATTCTAAGATAAAAATTCCACTCCACCCCCAGATCCAAGATTTTTGCATTAAGAAGCAGCCATACATTATTTCAAATACACTAACATACTTTATTCTAACTGAATTGTGTATTTTTAAAAGAAAATATAGATAAAAACCAATTTTTGTGTGTTATATTTGAATGAATGAATGAAATAAGTAAATAAATAAATAGAAGAAAATGTAGATAATTTTTTTTTGCAGTAGGCTGTGGTAAAGGGCATGTTAGGAAAGCGTCATGATCTGGGTTTGTATGAGGAAATCAATGAATCTTTGTTACGACATGGAAAACGCAATTGTATAGTAGAAGTCTGCACTGCCACCCCTTGAAATGGGCCAGGATCCTGTTTAACTCAGGCTAGAAGACCACTGACTGAAATGAGAAGTACTCTGTACCAAACAATGAATTCAGAAACTTACATAAATTAATAGGCTTTGATGTTGTACGATATATTCCTATCTGTGCTAGTGATGGAGAGGTTCAAGGAGCTGACAATAGGCTGCCCTCTAACTCTGGCTTTTGAGATTTCACCCTCCATTGCCAACACTTTTTGAAGCGTATCTTCACAACCAGAAAGGCTTGGATTTTATTCTTTTAAAGAAGAAAAGCTTAATTCTTTTTGGCAGTGCCATGTTGAGTGGCTTTTCTGTTCTATGCAATGACAGCATATGCATGGGTCCTTCCTTTGGGTTTCTGAACACGTAGCAGAGTCTTTTTTACATTTTCTGTTTTCCCCCTCCAGAACAAGGCGACCTAGGAGCCTGAGAGTTTCAGGATCAAACCCCCTCTACAGTTTGCCTTCATTGCACTCCACATTTTTTGTACCAGTTAGGGCACTTTGCATTCTTTCTGTATTTGTATCTGCAATGTTTCAGATATGGGAAGAATTGATGTTAGTGTCAGGATTTCCCATTGTGAGCTGGAGAGGTTTATTGCTATCTCTCATGAGCCTTCAGTTGTCCAACTTGACATCTTAAGATCCATATTTTTGTTTCATTTGGATATACAGCTGCAGGTTCTGAAA